CATCGGGAAAATGAGGAAAAAATGAATTGTTTCACTTATATAAAGTAAATCTTGTGCTCCCATTTATATAAGTAAAAGAAGATTTTTAGTGAGAAACCTGTGATCAATACCATTTTTTTTTTCCCTTAATTTTAAACAATTAAGAAAATCTCATTAGTTAATTTTCATGTAATTTTATTGTACAATCCTATATAGACGTTTTGATTTTTAAAATAATTTTGTATAAGATTTTGAAACTCTCATAATATTTAATTTTAAAATAATTACAATCCCACATCGAGGAAAAAAATAAAAAATGAGTTGTTTCACTTATATATTAATATTATACTCTCATTTAATATTATAGTATTGTGCATGTTTTAGTGTAATATGGTTTAAATTTTATTTAAAACTTAAAAGTTTTAATTAGTTAATTTTGTTGTAAATTGGTTGGTCTTTTGACTTGGTCAATTAGGATGAATCATTTTCAATTTGACTGATTCACTGGTTTAACCACGATTTTATCTGTTTTATTAAAATATATTGCTTAGATTTGTTTGAACGTCTAAGATTGCTTGATTAGAAATGAACTTCCCGTCCAAACAACTATTAACTTTTATTTTACAATCCCACGTTAGGAAAAGGGGGAAAAAATGAGTTGTTTTACTATATAAACCTTATACTCCCATTTAAAATTGTAGTGTTGTGTATGTTTCAGTTCAATACAGTTTAAATTTTAAAATTAAAATAAAATTTAAAAGTTTTAGTTAATTAATTTTTATATAAATTGGTTGGTCCTTCGGTGAGCCGTTTTTGGTTTAACTGATTCGCTGGTTTCATTGCGATTTTAACATTTTTATCAAAATATATTAATTAAATTTGTTTGATTCGAAATAAATTAAGGATTGACCTAATTAAAGATTAAACAACTAACGGTTGGTTTGGGAAGTGGGTTGGCTTTTTTGGCTATTTTAGCTAGGGTTAAAAAACTTGGTTTGGGAATGCCTTTTTTGGGTTTTTGGCTTTTTTGACTTTTTTTATGAGAGAAGAGTATAATGATTATGGGTTGGATGTGATGTTTTGTTGGTTCTGGCTAAAATAGCCTATTTTGTCTTATGTGGCTAAAATAGCCAAAAAAACCTACAAACCTTCTTCCCAAATGAATTGTTTGATTCAAAATAAACTTCCCGCCCAAACAATTGTTAACTTTCAAACAATTAAGAAAATCCTCATTTGTTAACTTTCATTTAACTTTCATTTAACTTTTATTTTATAATCTCAGATCGAGAAAAAAATGAATTGTTTCACTTACACAAAGTGAATCTTATTACTCTCATTTATATAAGCAAAAATAGATTTTTAGTGAGAAACCTTATGGTCAATATCTCATATTAATTTTTTTGATTTTCTTAATTTTAAACAATTAAAAAAATCCCGATTGGCTAGCTTTCATTTAACTTTTATTTTATATAATATAAAAAAATTAAATATAATCATCATATTTTTATTAAATTATATATTATTTTATCTCGTATATAATAAATCAATAGTAAAATAAATAAATAAATAAATAAAAATACCACTTCTTAATGGCGTGTTGAGGCGCAATTATTGTATATATGAAAAAATGTTTGGTCAACCGAAATAGAAATAGCTCGACTCTGCTTGAATGACACAGCTGGACGATTACTCGAACGATTAGCATAATTCTTGTCAATTGAAATTCTCACCTTTGTTAATTGAGATTATCACTCTTATTATCTAGTGTATCAATCGATATCTACTTGAATGACTGACATCCTTTCAAATAATTGGCAGAACGATTGACATGCACAAATCTAATGGATGTAACACTGTATTGATTCATATTTTCAATTATATCGCGTAATTCCAAACGACTAAAGTGGGAGTGAGGGTTGAAAAGGTTCAAGAAAGAAAAAAACTTATGAATCAATTTATTTGACAATTTCTAATTAAATAAGTTATTCTGTTATCTTGCTGCACATTAAAAATCAACAAAACAATAAATTTATTTTCACTATAAAGTTAAAAAAATAATCAAATGATATGACATATTTAATTGTTAAAAAAATCTTAATTAGTAATAACGTGACATATTATAGTTTATGAGTTAACTTATAAGTTCCAGCTATAGTAATCCTTTAACTTATTAATTCACCATTTTAAATTTTGACATGGCAATTCTTTAAGTATTACATACTACTAATTTTTATTGATTGTGATTACATATTTATATATATATATATATATATATATATTGTCCACATTCTATGTAGCATTTATAACTTGTGATACTAATGACATTATTATTACATTTTTTTCTCACTGGATTGGTTGAATATGGATCGATGACGCTTTTGTCTTTTGTTGGTGGGTGTTGTTTGACTTTGGTGAAATTTATGTGAATTGTTTAATTCTTTTAGTGGGTTTATGAAAGGATTTTTTTCTAATGAAAAAGATTGGTGAAGGAAGCACCAAGTAGCAGATAGCTTAGCAGCTTATTTTATTTTTTTAAGCTTTTTATCAACTATAGTGGGTGTTTAGAAAGTGACTATTTTAGAGATTTTTTGATATTTTAATTATTTTAGTAAGTTATTTTATTTTTTATGTTTGGAAAATTGGGTTGAATTTTTATTTGAGTTGTTGTATTGAAAAATGTGTTTGTAATGATGCTTAAAGTGAAATGACAAATTTGTTCCTAGTTTCACTTTTTTCAAAATTAATCTAAAGGGGTAAAATTATCATTTATTCATTTGGGACTAGGCTATGATTACAAATATATGGGAGTTTCTATTTGCACATCCACATTCCTCTTTTTACACACACTTAATAAAAATTAATGGGATTTTTATTGATAAGTCCAATTTAGAAGTGTTTTAACCCAAAAAGTCCATGAAGGAATTTTTTAACCCATTTAGTCGGAAGTTGAATGTCGAAAAAAAAAAAAAAAATCAAAACTCTACTTCTGAACAAGTTATTTATTTTTAGAATGCTACTTCTGAACTAATTGTTTATTTTCAAAAATCTACTTCTGAATCAATTATTTATTTTCAAAAACCTACTTCCAAATTAATTATTTATTGAAAAAAATGTATAAAGGGGAAAATAAATAAGTGTGTAAATAATAGCTCCTCAAATATACCTGCCGGCTGCTATTTTATTTTATTATTATTTTTTGTAATCAATGGGGGTAGGCTGATATTTTTTTGAGGCTAAAAGGCTATTTTTCACTTTGAGGGTAAAATTGCCTCTATCCATAGTTCCCAAACACCCCATATAATCAATTACAAAAATAATTTAAAGCTCTAAAAAATGAATTCTAAATCCATTACTAGTGTGTTGGTAATGGGATCCAGTGGTGAACTGTGTCTTGTTTTCTTTTTCTTTTTTTTATTTCCTCCATGCCAGCTCATTAGAGCTGCTGGATTAGAGCTTTCCAGCAGTGCTCTAATTATACAATGGTTCAGTTCAAGATTCGATTTTTGAAGTTAGGTTACGAGATAATAATTTCTCATTAATTTTTTAATCCCGACGTGAATGACTTACTTTTGATTGGATAAAAAAATAAATTAAACGAGGTGTGCGTAAATTTTTTTTTTTAAAAAAAAATTTGCTCCTTAGCTAAGTTCATGAACCTTGTATTTGCTTTTATTAATGCTGTTAATTAGCTTGAGATGCTTAATGCTTTTTTTTAGGTCAGGATATGATACAAAGCCTTTAACCATGTGATTAGAATGTACTCTTTAATATGCATTTAACTTTTTCTATTGCGTTTTTTAATGTTTGGAACGATTTGTTCTTTGATTATTCTATATTTTCTTTTGTGTCTCTTTTGCCAACTATTTTGGATTCTATTTCCAGTTTTCTTTTTTGGTGATTCAATTCCATATATATCCACCAAACTGGTTTAAGAAATGTGCTGGGTAGTTTTCGACCTGATTTGGTATTTTATATTTTTCATTAGCCTTCGAAACTATGATTTCATCCAATTACATTTATTTAAATTTTTTTTCTGAATTCATAGATAAGTTTAACTGAGTTATATCTTTCAAACTTAATTAAAAATAAATTTAAATAGATTACGCAAAAATATCTGTTTAAACTCGTTTAAACGGGTCCTACTTCCTTCAACACTACCAACAACACCGCCACTCCTCCACAACTACCACTCCATTAACGTCACCACCCTCATCACTCCACTCTAGGCCCTAGAGCTGTAATGCCTATGGGCTGGATTCCATTTCCCACTACACAACCAAGACTTCACTCCAAAGATTACAATCCTATCACATGCATTTCCAAACCAAAACTATAAAAAGTGATCTCATAGAAATTTATAATTTTTTCTTTTAATTTAGTAAGATAGCACCTAATATATTATTGAAATGGTTCATTTTGAAATTTCAAAATTTCATTATTACATGACACATTAAAACAACTATAATGAAAAGGGTGCAAATACAATCACTCTATTTGGTTTCAATTTTTAAAATTTTCTTTTTCAAAAAATTTTACTTTTTTATTTTTCGTATTTTTTTGTTTTTATTGAATTTTTTTAATATTTTAAGCCATTTTTTAAACACACCTTGTATAAATATACTTAAAAAATATAATATTTATGAAAAAAAATCTTTACAAAAAATACAAAATAAAAAAACTCAATTTTCAAAACTTAAATTCAAAAAACTAAAACCAAACATCATTCATGTGTACATCTAGTTTTTTTAGGAAAAAATCAAAAATTCCCAAGGGCCTCGCTATATATTAGTAAATAATATGGGACCTAGTGCTTTGTGTTGGTATTTGGCCCAACGACAAGGGGGGTGACACATTCTCAACCAACCAATGGCATACTATTTCCCCAGGGCTGTAGTGTCAAATTGCAGACCAGCCAAAATTGTTCCAACTCCCTCTCTAAAAATGTTGGGTTGTGTGTAAATAAAAACAAGTTTTACCTCTGAACACCAAATTTTGCAACAAAAGAAAAAGAAAAGGCAACATTTATCATCAAAACTATGTAGGATAAGCACCAAAATAACTTGGGAGGTTTGAATACAAGCCAAGGGCTTTTAACATGATACAGGTCCCACAAGTGTTTCAACTTGTTTTCAGCATAAATAACCTAATTATATGAATTGGGATTTTACAGCAATGTTAAAGAGTCATTTGCAGTTTCTGTAATGTTTAAACATGAGGAAGTGTTCGATATGGTTGCCAGATTTCATATATACTGACTCTTTTTTAAGTACATCATCATCTTTGGCTAAGAAGGCATACCAAATGATGAGTTTTTCCCAGAGCAACACATATCAAACTGCAGTTATGAACTTATGATAATCTGTCTTCCCGGCAGAGTTCCTAGACATTGGATGGTATTGCAGGTTATTCCAAAATTCGTGATAAGTTTGTTCTATTTTAAAGTAATGTGATTACCTTTGAAGATGTCAAGTGATTGAAGGGTGCACAGTGATTCTGAATTGATGGATCCAATTCAAATGGGGTTTCTGAATTGCTGATATTCGTTGTTGGTGTTAGGAGATTTGGCTGATTTGAGGGTGTGCACTGATTTGGAAGATCAAATGCAGCCTGCATTGAAATCTCTTGGTTCCTGGGAAATGTATCAGCTCCTCCGTTTGTATTCAGCACTTCATTTCCCTCACTGAAGCGTATTCCTGCCTGGGGCAGTTGTGTGGGATGTAATGATCCCGGAAAGCAAAATGGATGCAAACTTAATCCATTTCTCATTGATAGCATCTGCAAAAACAACCACAATAAAGAGGGATCAGATAAATTATTAACTCTTTAAAATAACCAATATTCAATGATGGCATACAAAACAACTGAGCTAGGTTCCACTGGCATCTAGTCGGAAATTACCATAATAAACTTTGTCGAGTAGTAACAATCTTCCCAATAGGAGAATTCTATAGAACAAGCACTCCTAAGAACAATGGCTTCCTATGAAGCACGGACACGGATACAAACACGGACATCGACACGGGACACGGCAATTTCCAAAAAATGGGGATACAGACACTATGGGGGACATGGCGATTTTTTTTATTTTTATATATACATTTTTATGTATTATATAGATTCATATTGCATTCATCCTAAATCAAAATTAACAAACACTAACATAATAACATTAATTCAATAAATATAACCACTACATTTAAACAAATTAATAGATCATCTATTCACAAAAAAGTCATAATAAACAATAACAAGAACCAAGACGAGAAGAGGAAAACATTCAACATCCAACAATATTTTTCACAAAAGCACTAAATAAGAAAGGCAAAAAAAAAAAAAGTGAGCCCCGCCATGTCCCATGCCATCTCCCAATATGGACATGCGTGTTCCCGCCATGTCCCCTACAAAAAAATCATTAAATTAAAGGGACATGCCATCTGGCGTGTCCCCATGTCGGACGCCGCCATGGCACCAATTTTGGAGTGTCCATGCTTCATAGATGGCTTCTAATCTTCACACTTTTTCTTTTCTTTCCTGGGGCTGCACTGGACGACCAATCATTCATTTGAAGGAGAATTTCTAAGAGTAGTAGATAAAACATCCAAGGCAACTGAGTTAAAACCACATACTGATTAGTTGTTGTCTTGCATGTTGCAGGTATCATGTCAAAATGGATTTGCTAACTCCTCAAGGATAACCCAATATTTAAGTAGTGTGTGGTTTAACTAATGATTAATAATGGATCCTCAGACAGTTCACTGTGCCATAAGATTAGGTGGTTTATGGTCAAGCAGGGCTAGCCCACATACCCATCAGTAAATTCTTGGATTGTGCTATCTGTAGATGACTTCATATGATGAAAAGCAAAAGTGTAAATATATATTTTTAAGTAATTTTAAAAAAGTGACCGAATCTTTACGATTCACGATTCGATTCGATTCGCGATTCGCTACAAGGTCATTTCGATTCACGATACGAATCTCGATTTGACAACTATGTTATGGAATATGGATCTTACCCCTTGTTTAGATATCATTCTTAAAGAGGAATATCAACAAAATCAACTAGACAGCGAGTAGGCTTCAACTGATAGAAAGAGTTCATTAAGCATTAAAAAGTAGATAAAAAATAAATAAGCCTAATTAATCAAATACTTGTATATTACTTGAATATATTGACTGAATAAATACTTCTAAATAAAGAAGTTCACATATATAACTTGGGAGTTTTAACTATGGGACAACAATAAGAAGTGTTTGGAATTTAAGACCCAAAAAAGGCAAAAAGACAGAAAAACAAAAAGTAAATGCTTTTAATATAGGAATCCTCAGGTCTCGGGTTATTGGTTAAGTGAATTGTTGCCATGGACAGTATGGTTCCAAACTATTCCCATGGGACCACGCAACAAAAATCGCAACAGTATAGTAACAATGAAAAAACACAGGCAGCAAGTTAGCAACACCATCCAATACTTCAATTCTAGCACCCTTCACTCTGCTTCCAGATATTTTTACAGCATGAAGCACAAGAATCTTAAAAATGCAACACATATAATGCTCCCACTGCCCAAAAAAATGAGTAAAAGAAAATAAAAGATTAGAAAATAATACTCACTCAGCTCCAAGGCTGCATCAACTCCTAACTTCCCAAAAGATCTACACAAATTCAAAGGTATGTTCTCTTGCTAAGGTATAGTTACGATCCCCATTTGCAGCACTCAGTATCATAATTTTGAAGATTGCATCACTCACTCATGTACTAATTTCTACGTGGAACAGGCAAATTTTGTATTTTCTGGCAATCCATTATATTGGTATTACAAAAGTTGCTTTAACTTTTGCATTGTCTCAGCATTCCACTTTTTCCCTGTAGACTATAGTAATCAATAATTGCTGAATGGTTGCATCATGTAGGGAGAATGAATCCGTTGTAGGCATATTCCATGCTCTTGAGACGTTGCCTTTAAACGCCCTGGGAGCCACACGATCACATGGGATTCACCCTTACATGCAGTGACTCACATTATCGTGTGGTTCCCGACACATTGGGACAATGCCCCCAAGAACACAGAATAATTTTCCCCATTGTAGAGGAATGAAATTTATCTTTTACCATTTTGTTTGGGCTTTCCAACACCAAAAAGCAAAAAGACAGAAGCTTTGGGTCAAGCCAACATCAATATATTACACAATCTCGAAGGGAAACTACACATGTGACCTCTTCACTTTGAACAACCTTATCAACCCTTTTTTATACATAGAGCTCCATTATACACAGTTTGTCAACCTATTACGTATCACTCATGTTTTCCCCACATTGACTTTCGCGCTTCCCTTTGAGGTGTCTAGCCCAATCCGCAGGGCATATTTTTCCCATATAGATAGCTCTGCCTAAAGAATAATCAATCAAAGAAAAACAATCAAAGGAGCTACTTCTCTGCCAAACACAACCTTGAGTGGCACAAGTAAATAGTATTATATATTATGCGTTTGAGACCGGCCCGTAGATGTTGATCCACAAGACATCTGATCTTACCAAAAGCATCAGGTTTATTAGTTTACACATGTTTTTATTAAGCAAAAAAAATTCCACTAACAGGCAGTAAAATGCTCCCTCGAAAATCAAGATGGTGCCGATGCATATGATTCCAGCAAAGCATTAGTGGAAGAGCGATATGCATTATGTTCGATGGTGGTGGTGACACTCTAAGAAACATGGATACGGACAAATGACAAGACATGGAGACAGGCAAGCAGACACACAAACTTTCAAAATATGAGTAAAATGGCAATATTACACATACTTCCAACTAAACATTTTGTCCACTGAAAAGATAAGCCTGTTAAGCAGGACGCTTACCTGTACTTGTAATTGAAGCTGCTTCAGATATTCAATGGCTTCATCCAGCATCGAAGCCTTATCAGTCTGTTATACAGAGAACATCAAAAAGTTGAATCAAGAAATCAAGCTCAAAGGACACAAGTACTGGAATAAGTACCTTATTCGAATTCGGAATTAGGTTCTGCAATGCTTTCATCTTCTCATTGATCCTACTCCTCCTCCTCTGTCCACCAAAATTAATCATATTAGCACACTTTTGTTGAATCAAGGTCCTAAAAAAGAAGGAAAAAGATATTCCAAAACAGAACCAACTTTTTCGGACAAATTATGAACCTCCGCTGCTCTACTCCTCTTTGACGAACGAGGCAGACCTGGACTGACTGGCGCCTCTGACGCATCAGATCCCTTCTAATTTCAACAATTATCAACCGTATATCAAAATTCACAAACATCGTAACGAAATTGGAGATAGCTCTACTAAGATCAACGAAATTACCTTGCAATCAGAGCCAAAGTCGTCAAAATCATTCTCTTCCGCAAACTTTCTCTTCAACGAAGATGTGATCCCATCCGAATCCACAACACAAGCCGCAGAAAACGTGTTCCTCGTGAACTCCCTCGCATCCGCCATAAATCCCCGGCCGGGATAAGAGAAATTGAAATCGACAGAAGAGTCAACCATCATAGACGATCCAGCAGTGGAGGCTCTCTCCCTGAATCGGCTGTCCGAGTCAGAGAACATGGGCAATCGGTAAAATAAATTGGTGGCAGAGCTGGATGTGATCGTCTCCGGCGGCGGCGGAGACAAGAACGACTGCCGGTGTTTGTCCTTAACGGTTGAACATGAAGAAATCGGTGAAGCGAGTGAATTGTAGAGAAGATTGTGAAGAAACGAAGGCAATTCTTCAGATTCAAGTGAAGAAGAGCGAGCGTTGGTTCCGTACAGATCCGCCATTTTTTTTAAAGCTAACCACGTAGTGATTATCTCAAAACACGATGCTTAATGAGAAAATCGAAGTAGACGAAGAAGAAGAATCTCAACACCTAGGTTTGTCTGCACACTCTTTGGTGTTTCTCTCTCTGCAAAGCCGGCTCTCTCTCTCTCTCTCTGGTGTTTCTCTCTCTACAGAGTCTTCTCTCTCTCTCTCTCTCTCTCTAATGATTTGGAGGATTTAACAGACGTTACAGAGCTGCTAATCAAATTTGATCACTCTCCCGCCTTAATCATAATTTTACTTAAATTTGCATAAATGGCATGGTTTTCCCACCTAATTATGGATAGCCCCTAACTTTTTGTTGTCTATTTTGTTCGCTTGTAAACTTTAATGACGTCTTAAATCCTGTTGTTGATGATAATGGAAGTAATACGGCCGTGGATGTATCAATTAATGTATTAATTAGTGTGTTAATATTAATTATGATATTATTATTGATTTAACTCATTAATCATATTATAAATACTAAAAATTTCTTAAATTATGTTACATCATCAATTAATCACTAATTGATGTATATAATATTATTCGAAGTAATAAGTGTGACATATGTCGTAATTTTTGAATTAAATAGACAATAATATATGTTCATTGAAATATTATATCCCTATATTTATATTAGAGCAGTAATTAGTAACTCTAAAAGTAGAGTTTTAAATAGAGTTTTGCTGAGCTGGTAGCTCCAAAAATAAATAAATGTCAAAACATCACATTATAGTGGAATCCACACTTCATTAGAGCTATTAGAGTTCACAAATTAAAATTCCAAAACATTTTTGTTTTTATTAAAGTTATGTTAAGTTCTCATTAAGTGACATAAAATGACCAAATTTTTTTTGAATCTTAACATAATTTTTACACATTTCTTGATGTTATTAACTGCTAAAAAGAACAACACATTTGGTCTAATGATCTATGCAGCTGTTCCTTAAAACAATAAGAATATTAGAGTATTTTTATTTAAGTCCTTGAAGCAACTGTAACCTTTTTTTATCATAATTTAACTTATCTAACCTCTAACATTCATCATATAAAAGAAGGGAAAAATGGCTCAAAAAGTTATCATTATCACTTTCCATATTAATTTAGTGTACTTTATCATTGAAAATGTAGTTAGTGTAGTAAAGAAAAAAAATAGAAATGATACCTCTCTTGAATTTGGGAGTTTTAAACAGGATTTTAATGACTTCGTAATAAAAAAAATAAAAAACAAGACACAAACATCACATTGTTGTTGTAATAGTTCGAAAATTTAAATTATTCCTTAAATTTTATATTAATATTATTGTTATATTTGATAATATATTATTAAAAAATAAATAAATATAACCGTGGTAATAATAATAATAATAACAAATAAATAAATATAATAATAACAAATCTAAGCAAATATCCAGGTGTATTTGCTGGACTACTAAACCTTAGCCATTTGGGCAGTTTAGGATCAAGGAGGATGAATCAGCCAATTTAGATCATTAGTGCACCTAGGCTGTGTGTGTATATATATATATAAATATAAAGGGATGAGTAAGGCTGTAAGGGTAAAAATAAGAAGGAAATACTAAAGGTGAATATTAAAGTGAGTTATATTATATTTTGAGTCATTATAATATATTTTATGTATGTTTTAAGTTACTATAATTTATTTTACGTAAATCATGTTTTATATATTATATTAGTATTTTTAATTATGTTATTTATTTATGAACCTTATTTTATATAATAAGGAAAACTCATGGATATAACTATTTATTAAAATGTGTTTTGAGTAATTATTTTATAAGTATCACCACGGAGGTCTCATGTCTTGGGGGACTTAAATAACCATTAGCCCTCTAATTAGTCACTTTGTGACCCTCTGTTTGTCATGGATCCATTAACACTCTGATTTCTGGTGTAAAGCAAAGTGTTGTACGAAACTAAGTGCTACACTATTGTGAGAGCCACCTTTAGAGTTCGTACGAGCCATCTCTTGAGTCTATACTTCTGTTTTGTTCCGTTCTGTACCGTGGTTATGATTATTTTGTATTATATGTTAAATGATTTCCTTATTATATATTTTGTATTTTAATATCAAGTTTTGTTTAGCCAATAATTATCCATAGTGAATTTTATACCCTTATACTCTTGACATAGTATTTCTCACTCTGTCATGTGCTTATAGTTGTTTACCAATTTTCAATAAACAATGCAATTCAGAAATAGCTTATGGAAAATTTTAGACGCAGGCCTGCAGAATAGACACACACAACATTTTTATGATATTTTTACATGTAAATATCGGCCTTTTTGGTCAATAAATTTTGTAATGAAAATGGAAGTTTCGATGATTATTTTGGTACCTTTACTTAAATATTATTTCCACTCGCGTTTATTAGTTTGTTCAAGAATTGGTCGGAAGTAACTTCAGTTACTGGCCATCGTGATGCTGAGCCCTTGGATACGGGGTGCGAGTTGTGACAATTATGGAGCCATACACCATTAGAGCTCGAGAGAACTCTTCTTTTAGAGCTCCTAATCTTTTTTCAGAAAAAAAAAAATAGATATCATAAGTTGATAAAGATAATGAGGTAATTTTTTTTTATATTACTGGCGCGTTAAGAGACATTATGGATGTAAGGTGGATAGGCACTAGAAAGAGTAATGTTAGAGATCTCAAAAGTTCTATTAAATTTTTTATGAAATGTATCACATGAGTGCAGAATCCACACCATGTGAGTCTCATTTCAAGAGACATTGTGGATGTAAGATGGGGTAAGCACTAGAAAGAGTAATGTTAGAGATCTCAAAAGTTCTATTAAATTTTTATGAAATGTCTTATATAAGTGTAGGATTCACACCATGTGAGTCTCATTTTAATCCTACATCCATGTGAAATATTTAGTAAAAAATTTAATAAAATTTTTAAAATGTTTAGCACTTTTGCACTAAAAAAGATAAGATTAACAACAATTACGAGTAGTGGCTGACAATTGAAGAAGGTGGTAAAAAGTTTGCCGCCAATTGAAAAAGGTGAAACGAGAGGAGAATGAAAAGAACAAAATGAATTGATTAGAGCATCTCCCATGCTTAATCAGATTTTTCATCAACTCTAAGTTAAAAAAAAAAAAACAAAAAAAAAACAAACAAACAAACAAACAAACGATTTCCTCTATTTGTTATCGCCTGCTCCAACAGAGAAATTTGACTTTTCATCAAACTACCGGTCGACCAGTCAATGCAAAAAAATAAAAAATCTGATTCTGATCTTTCTCTCTTTCTCTATTTTTTTTTATTGAGAAAACAAAGAGGTGGTCGAGCAGGGGGTCGACCTCTTAGTGTAAAATTTTTACAAAATTTTGCTTGCGGTGGTGATTTGGGAGGATGTCCGGCCAGTTGTCTGGTGGGTCCACACTCAACGACTACGCACAGTGATTTGGTGAAAGGTACAACACATCTTCAGTTTGATGAAAATTTGTGACTATTCTCAATTTGATATAAGTTTGATAAAACCGTTGAAGCAAAAAAAAATGTACTTTTTCACCAAATTCAAATTTGGTGATACATTTACTTAACCATTAGAGATGATCTTAGAGAAAAATAATAAGAACACTAACATAAATTTGATTTATAAATCAAAATTTTAGTGAATTTAGGGGCAATTTGAAAAGTTAGTAAAAAATTAATTATTTTACCTTTTAATTTTTTTACACAAAAAAATTATAAAAAATCACAAAAATACCAACTTTTTTAACCATAAAAACTATCAAAAAATTAAAAAAACAAATTGCCGACTTCCTAAAACACCACTTATGCAATGTAACGGTGGAATGAGATTTTGTTGGCATGATGGAAGGGAGGGAACGAGTGAGGTAAGAGCACCAATTAAAATTTTCCAACCAAACACCCAAAAAAGTCATAAATGATGAAGAGGATGACAAAAAAATGTCATTCCCGATGTTACCTTTTTAGACTTCCCAAGTTGCCTTGCCTTAAACAAGCCCCTAGTAATGTAGCCTTCCCCTGCTCTATCCCCTTCTCCACCTCCCATGCTGTTAGGGGTGGACATTTCGCCGGTGGCCTGCCCAACTCGTTTTTTAAAGTTTGAAAATGTTAGCATTTTATGGGAAATGTCTTTTAGTTTGCCTTCGTTTGGGAAATGGGTTGACTTTTTGACTTTTTAATTTTTTTGGGTTATTTTAGTCTGGGCTTAAAAGTTTGGTTTGGGAAGGATTTTTTGACTTTTTAGCTTTTTTGAGTTTTTTTGTGAGAGAAGAATCATAAATGATGAAGAGGATGACAAAAAAATGTCATTCCCGATGTTACCTTTTTAGACTTCCCAAGTTGCCTTGCCTTAAACAAGCCCCTAGTAATGTAGCCTTCCCCTGCTCTATCCCCTTCTCCACCTCCCATACTGTTAGGGGTGGACATTTCGCCGGTGGCCTGCCCAACTCGTTTTTTAAAGTTTGAAAATGTTAGCATTTTAGGGGAAATGTCTTTTAGTTTATAAGATTATATTAGGTTAATATTTTTAATTCAAAATATCAATGGATAAAATTTAAAATTTATATTTTCAACTCAACTTAATTAATTAATTAATTATTTATTTATTTATAATATATTAAAAAAATATGTATTTTTTGAGATTTATATTTTATTTTTATTAATTTTATTAAAATTCACATTTATAATGATATGTAATTGAATTTATTTAAGAAATCATTCAATGTATGCACAAAATCTTTTAGTTTATAATAATGTCAATATATTTATTTAAGAAATATAATTTTTGATTGAATTTAATAATGAAATTTATAAAAACAAAATTTAATATATAATCCGATAAATAGACTGGGGATTTATAACTATTTTTTAAATCAGACTTAGACAGATACAGAGACTCGACCCGATGTTAGAGTGGGTCAAGTTTAAACAGATATAAAATCTCTTATCATGTAATACCGGCCCGACCTAACCTTCGTCTACCCCTATATACTCTTTGATTTTAATAATGAAATTTATAAAAACAAAATTTAACATATAATTCGATAAATAAACTTGGGATTTATAACTATTTTTTAAATCAGACTTAGACAAATATAGAGACTCAACCGATGTTGGAGTGGGTCAAGTTTAAACAGATATAAAATCTCTTATTATGTAATACCGGCCTGACCTAACCTTCGTCCACCCCTATATACCCTTTGAT